CACATCAGCAGCTTATGGTCAGCTCCAGGCAATGAAGACTCTCATCAATGCCAATGCCATGACTGATGATGTGGACAGAAATGGCAAATCTCTCGTATTCATTGCAGCTGAAGAAGATCAAGTTCAAATATTAGAGGTAGGAGTCAGCTTATAATTGAAGTCTAACTATACGTATATGCCATATATTTTGCAGGTATAAAATTTTGCGATTTGGCTGCATTTTTGTATTTGTGAATAAAAATTTCGTGATTTTAATGTAATTATCACACCTACTCATAGTTCTGCCTATTGTGGTCGGGAGTGGTCGGGACAACGACCTCAACAAATGAACCAACCAGTTCATCACTTAGACCAACCATCCAATTAATACTAATGACCATACATAAAGCATGATATTGTAGTCTACTAGTATGGTGTACATAAATTTAAAAGGAACAATACTAGTCTCTAACCACCTCTAATTGTATTCTAGGCAGAACCTTACTACTATACAATCAGCATGCTATTTTGCAGATTTTAATTTCGCGAAATTTTCCAAAATGCGAAAATCACAAAATTTAATCCCCATGAAATATATGGTGTATACGGTACATAGCAGCCAAAAAATGGCCTTTGATACACTAAGTAGTGCATTTTATGTTCCAAGTTATCCAACACTGAAGAGGAATTATTAGTGAGAGCCTTTGACAGTTCACATGAACTAAGTGACCTTAAGGCAACCTTATAATGTAATGGAATGATATCAGTGCATTTGTGTAGGCTCTTGTATTGGGTGTGTATGGGGAGTGGGGCAGCGAACTGGTCAATACTCCTGACACCACTCACAATACTCCATTGCACATTGCTGCCAAGAAAGGACACATTAACTCATTGAAGGTAAAAAGAGAGAGAGAGAGAGAGAGAGAGAGAGAGAGGGTGAGGGTGAGAAGGAGTGAGAGGTACATGTGTTTACAAAGAGAGAGTACATGTGTAGATGATCTAATCATAGATACTGCAAATATGATCTAATATAATTTTACAAATCATTGCACTGCTTAGATTTTGCTCAAGGCTTCCCATTTAAAAGTTGATGCTCGTAACGAGGCTGAGAGGACTCCACTCCACTTAGCAGCAGAAGCTGGTCACGCCAAGTAAGACACACCAAATTAACTTAGAACCACACCTATTCATTAATTAGTGTTATAAATGAGTTATTGCATTATGCTGAGGAGAATGATAAGGATATTCTTAAAGATGAAGATGATGATGGGAATTCTGCTCTGCATTTGGCTTGTATCAATGAAAAGTTTCAAGCAGCAAAAGCACTTATACTAGCTGGAGCTGATCCTGAAGACAGGTATGGGAATGAAAATATTAGTATGAGTATGAGAATGGTAAAACCTGATAAGTTTTGAATATTATTATATTTTTTGATGATATACATGTACATATAGAAGATGTAGAAAATTTGAGCTGATTTCAATCAACATAAAATTTTAAAGTTGCTCAAAATTGGGTCAAAGTCCCTGTACTATAGTAAAGGGTCATTGGCCAAATTTTGTCAAAAATAAAAAAGTGAGAATTCTTTACTTTTATAATTTTTTAGTTTATATACATGTACTTGTAGTACGTAGAAATTTTGAGCTCATTCCGATCAAAATTAGATTTTCTAAGAATTTTTTAAAGATGCTCCAAGATCGGGCCAAAGTCCCTGTACTATAGTACAGGGATTTTGGTCAAATTTTGCCAAAATTGAAAAGAAGAGAATTCTCTATTTTTATAATTTTTTCTGATGCATATACTTATACTTATGTTGTCTAGAAAGTTTGAGCTGGTTCTGGTCAAAATTGGATTTTTTACAAATTTTTAAAGTTCAAAAAATCTGATCAAAGGGTAGATATCAATTCTTTAGAAAGTAAGGTAAAGTATTTAAAAGTTCAAATTTTGGCCATGGTTTTTATTGAAAATTGCTCAAAATTAACAACAAAAAGTCATTGACTACAATGAGAAAAGAAGCATATACAGTGTAATTTTATTGTTTTTTTTAGGAATGCACGCCAATGGACTCCAATGGATTGTGCTGCCGAGTCTGGCCGAGTTCAAATCATTCAACTTCTGATTGATGCTGAGGCTCAAGTTGATCCAAGAGATATCAATAATGTGAGTCACATTTAATGATTGATGTGGTTTCATTATTAGCTTCTCTTTCCTTCATCAGGTCACACCACTTCATGTAGCTTGTAAAGCAGGTCACATTAAAGTTGTTAATGTATTGTTGGAAAACGGAGCCAAAGTGTCTATATGTGACTCTAAAGGATGTAATGCTCTTGATGTCGCCATTGAAAATGGACAAAAGTAGAAAAAGAGAGAAAGAGGAGAGGTGATTTTTATTCTTGCTATTAGGGATGTTGCCATGGCTATTGTCAAGAGCAACCAGTGGATGTCAGCACTTCGCAATGTTACCTATTTTGATCAAAGTACAAATAATGCAGTTGGAGGAGGAGCAATGGGTGGAGCCACTTTTACCACACCAATGAGACGTATCATACGCAAGATGCCTGGTAAAAGGAGAGGGGGAGATAGAGAGAGGGAGGGAGAGATGAGAAATGAGGGCACATTGTATTCTTTCCTTTAGATGTTGCTGAAGTTGTTTTCAACCGTTGCTGCCAGACAAACGAGGACACTGTATCCATTGATCATCCTGACTATAAAATAAAGTTCATTTATGAGTTTCTTGAGGACTTTAGAGTTGACTCGGGCTACTCAAGAAGATTTACAAGGACCAGAACAGTAACAAGGTGAGTTACAACTACTGTATGTATATATTTATGCATACGTCACATGGTGACTTTATATTTTCAAGCAAATATACATTTACATGTGATTAATTTTTTTCTCAAGGCATTCAGTCCCAATAGAAGAGGTGGCCTCTAGTGCTGGAGATGTTGATGAAGATACAGAAGGAGGAGGAGGAGGAGGAGGAGGAGGAGGAGGAGCAATAGGTGATGATGATGGAGGTAATGTTGGGTATCAAACTACTTGGGGGCCAGTTGGCTATTCAAGACAGGATCACTGTCTACAAATACTAGTAAGAAAATTTTAATAATAATAAAAATAATAATAATAATAATTATTATTATTGATTCTTATAATAAAATTTCAGTCAAAAATGAGAGAAAGAGACAAAAGAGTTGAGGCAAAATAAAAATAAAATAAAATAATTTAAGTCATACAATGTTGAATGTTCACAATAAATAAAATTAAGTTAGGGGTAGGTGAAGAATTGTTTATGTAGCTGCATACCGATGAATAGCGGATTTATACCCGATCCGTCATCTGTCCCTAGCCCTTTCCAACGAGAACGAGAACCTCTAATGCATAAGTTGGTGGCTCTCACTAAGGCAAAAGACAGATTAATTCTGATCTAATGGAGAGTATACTGTAGTTTCGACTCCATTTGAGTGAGAGCTTGTCTGCTAGCTTCTTAAGGAAATGTTGCATTTCTGTGCCAATACAGCCATCGATAGTAGTGAAGATTATTATTATTATTATTATTATTATTATTATTATTATTATTATTATTATTATTATTATTATTAATATTATTATTATTATTATAGAGAGTAGGTAGTTAATAGTAGTATGGGCCAGGCTAAACAAGTATTATTATTATTGTTATTATTATTATTATTATTATTATTATTATTATTATTACTATTATTATTATTACTATTATTATTATTACTATCGATCTCGTTTCTCTCGGAAAAATATTACCCAATCAGCCCCTGTGGATCTTATTATGTTTGAGTCAGGCTTGTCCCCCACTATAGACTAACCTTGTTTATAAACTTATTTTTGCCTATGATCACAAATTTTATTATGAATTATTATTATTTTTACTGTTATTAATAACTTTATTTCATTACTAATTTTCTCCATCTTTCTAACTCTATCTTTCTCTCCTTTCCTTTCCTTAAATTAACCTGCTTTAAAAATTACTATTATTATTGTTGTTGTTGTTGTTGTTGTTGTAATTATTATTATTATCATTATCATTATCATTATTATTATTATTATTATTATTATTATTATTATTATTATTATTATTATTATTATTATTATTGTTATTAT